TTGGTTGTGGTTGGTTGTGGTTGGTTGTGGCTGGTTGTGGTTGGTTGGTTGGTTGGTTGGTTGGTTGTGGTTGGTTGTGGTTGGTTGGTTGGTTGGTTGGTGGGTTGGTTGGTTGGTTGGTTGGTGGGTTGGTTGGTTGGTTGGGGTTGGTTGGTTGGTTGGTTGGTTGGGGTTGGTTGGTTGGTTGGTTGGTGCCTTGCCGCTTGAAAGGGAGGAACAGGGGAAAACGAAAATGAACACAAGGGAAATGAAATGAAATATGAAACACAAGAACCAACAAAGGGAAGGAAGGCCTGGAAAAAGGAAAGGATGCACACAAGAAAAGGCAAAGGAACATTGAAAAGTAGAACACGAACAAATTGACAAGGACTCACAGGAAAAGGACAAATGCCAATAAACAACAACAACAAAGAAAAGGGGAACACGTCCACGTTGTGAAAAGAACATGAAAGGGAGGAACATGAACAAGAAAAAGAATAAACAAAAAGTGACAACAATGAAAACACGGAAAAAGGAAAATGACACAACGAACAGGAATCCATTCTAGGAATATCGGATTGCAGTAACGTTGTTGACGCATAAATATAAACATGAATATAATGTACCATGTGTAACATAACCTTAACCATAGTTAGTTTGCCATGCCGCTGCAGCCTGGTAAGTTTTTTTTGACACTGACCAGAACCAGGGTCCCAGGGTTCAACATTAGCTCGCTTGAGAGGCCATTTGGCTGTGGGCGGCGCCGATTCGCGTGTAGTGCTGGGGTATTCAAGTTTCAATCATGGATCTATGACACCTGACACATGACTACCAGGGACTACCAACTACAAACCGCCGCGAAAAAGGTCAGCGGCACGGTCAGCAGGTAAACAAGAACAATAAAATCTGTTTTGACCTTTCACCATTAGGATCGACAACGACCGTCGTTCTTGTAACTTGCAATGGAGCTGGAACTGGCTGCAAGAAAGAGAAGAGGCCGTCGGCCCGGATCTGGGCCTCCTGCTGCTGTTGTTGTGGCAGATGATGTGGTGGAATTGGAGCAAAGTGATGGTCACAATAACATTGAGTTTGCAAACCACGATGCTTCTGTGGTAGTGCCCCGCCGCAAGGGACAACAGCCCCGAAACCTGGTCCACCAGGTGTACTCTTTGTCGCTGGCCATGTTACTACGCAATGCTGGCAACATCCCAGAAGTAGTTCAGCGGGCCTTTACATTAGCCACTCCCTTTGCAATCAGTGACTGTTCATTCAGCTCAGGTCATTGGTGGATGAGTGGAATGAGTTGTTTTGAACTTCATTGCTTCACTTCATTTCAGAACCCAACAAGACCCCCCCCAGGTATCATATGTAGCAGTAGTTGTAGTTGTGTTTTTTGATCGTGTGGTCAGACTCGGACCGGAGGACCACTTCGTAACAGTGTGTGAGTGTGTATGCCTGTTCAACTCATTTGACGCAATGCAAGGTTTTTGGCTTTGAGAAGGCGCAGGCATTGATGGCTTCCCTGGAAAAGCAGAAGAACAAACTGCTTCCTTCAGCTCGGGGCCCAGCAGGCAAAGAAACGCCAGGGCCAGGGCCAGGGCAAGGATAAATTGGGAGCTGGAGACCTGGAGA